CTTAGATAAATCCCTTTAATATTTCATATAACAAGGGCTTGGTGATGATGAGCTCCTATAACTTGACCTTATCAAGGAAGCACTTTATCTGCCCTTTCATTCTAAAGGATAGCTTTGCTGGACAGAGTCATCTTGGATGGAGGTCCTTGCCTTTCATAATTTTGAATACTTCTTTCCAGCCCCTTCATTTCTTTTCAGAAATCAGCTGATAGTCTTATAGGCACTCCTTTATAGGTAACTCTGTCCTTTCCTCTTGCTGCTTTTAAGATTCTCTTTTTATCCTTAATCTTGGGTAACTTAATTATGATGTACCTTGGTGTGTTCCTCCTTGGGTCCAATTTCTTTGGGACTCTCTGAGCTTCCTGGACTTCCTGGAAGTCTATTTCTTTTGCCAGATTGGGGAAATTTTCCTCATTATTTGTTCAAATAAGTTTTCAATTTCTTGTTCTTCCTCTTCTCCTTCTGGCTGCCATATGATTTGGATGTTGGAGCACTTAAAGTTGTCCCAGATGTTCCTAAGCCTCCTCCTCAGTTTTTAGAATTCTTGTTTCTTGATTCTCTTCCATTTGAATGTTTTTTCTTTCTTTTGTTCCAAATCATTGATCTGAGTCCCAGTTTTCTTCTCTTCACTGTTGGTTCCCTGTACATGTTGCTATATTTCACTTTGGGTAGCCTTCATGTCTTCCTTCATTTGTGACTGAGCTCAATCAATTCTGTAAGCATCCTGATTACCAATGTCTTGAACTCTGATAAGACAGTTGTCTATCTTCCCATTGATTAGCTCTTTTTCTGGAGTTTTGATTTTCCTTTGATTTGGGCCATATCTCTTTGTCTCTGCACACCTGTTATGTCATAAGGGGGCAGAGCCTTAGGTATTCACCAGGGCGGGGCAACCCTTTTTGCTGCGTTGTAGTGTTGTATGCAGGGGAGGGGCCAGAGAGGGAACAATGCTGCTTGCTCACTCTGCTGTATCCGCCACTGTAACAAACTCTCCTGTGAGACTGGGAGTGTGTCCCACCTTTGTGACCCACAGTATTTTATAGCTAGAGGTTTTGAGTCTTTACTTTCCCAGTCAGCCAGTCCCACCTTGTCTGCCCTGGTCCTCCAGCTGACACCTTGCCATAGGTCCTCTCCACCTGCCTGGCTGCCCATCTATAACCCTCCTACTTGTCTGGGTGAATGTTTCTTTAACTCCTTGGTTGTTGGACTTCCATGCAATTTGATATTCTGGCAGTTCTGGTTATTTATTGGTTTTAGATGGGTTGTTATCCTTCTTTTGGTTATGTAAGGAAGCAAAGCATTTCTACCTACACCCTTATCTTGCCAGAACTCCTACTTATCTCTCCATTTTCTTATTTCCACAATAAGGTGAACATGGCAAAGCCTACTGATTGCTCGTGTGTGCCAGGTGGCTTGTATGCCTGTTCTCATTTATTCTCCAGCATCCCTGTGAGGAAGATATTATTTCCATGTTTCAGGTTAGAAAACTGCAAAGTATTTAGAGAGATGAGATGGTTTTAATACTTACATTTATGCCCAAAGAAGTTCTTTAATTATGTTAAGGTTGGAAAAGACACTTCTAAACAAAATTAAAGCCCACAAGCTTTTTAGAAAAATGATTACAGGTGACTTTAAAATGTAAAAATTCTGAATGTAAACAGTTAAAAGGCAAGTGACAGGCTGAGAGAAAATATCTGCCCCATATATACCAATATATACCAATATATATGCCATATATATCAATATACAGGATGTACAAAGAACACTCACAAATCAATATGAAAAATTGCACATGACCCAAGAGGGAAAACATGGGCAAAAAATATAGACAGGCAATTCACATGAATGGAGCTGTAAATGGTCAAGAAACATGAGAAGATACTCGACATCTTTAGTGGTCAGGGAAATTTTTTTTAAAGATTTTATTTATTTATTTATCTTTAGAGGGGAAAGAGAGAGGGAGAGAAACATCAATGAATGGTTGCCTTTCGTGCATCCCCTGCTGGGAACTGGCCTGCAGGGAACTGGTCTGCAACCTGGGAATATGCCCTGACTGGGAATTGAACCGCAATCCTCTGGTTCACAGGCCTGTGCTCAATCCACTGAGCTACACCAATCAGGGCAATTTTTTTTTATTTTTAAAGATTTTATGTATTTCTTTTTTGAGAGAGGGAGGGAAAGAGGGAGGGAGAGAAACATTGATGTGAGAGAGACAGATTAATCAGTTGCCCCTTGCTCACCCCCAACTGGGGCTCTGCATGTGCTCTGACTAGGAATTGAAACTGCGACCTTTCAGTTTGCAGGCTGGCACTCAATTCACTGAGCTACACCAGCCAGTGCAAAAATCTTACTTTTAATGTTAAAAAGTTGAAATGTTTTAAATTTAGATAATCACATTTTTAATGTCCAAGAACTGTAATTAATTCTTTTTCACAGTAGCCTATCTGTTTAAAGGGGTACAATATTCTCTTAATTTCTGTTATGATAAAAATCATATGCTTTTAAAATTGTCTCATTTCCTGTATTAACTATTTTGTCAGAGGTTAAGCTAATAAAATGAAACAACATAACAAAATGAAACAATGTGGTTTCATTCCAGTGTTTGGCAGTTCGCAATGATCTGTTTATGTTTGTAGAAAAGATCTGCACTGGCCGATATGTATTTGAATAGTGTTGTCTGCGGCAGTGACTATGGGTCCCTATGACAGGAGCCAGCTATGATGATTACATGGAGGGCCAGGGGAACCTAGTGTGGCCAAACGGGCTCTTTATTTTCAGTGTGGCTGGGTCGCTTGCCTTCTGTGTGTGTGGTCGGGGGTTGGGGGTCAGGGGTCACCACCATACTGTTGTCTGTGTCTATGAGCTTATTTTCCTTGTTTGTTCATTTATTGCTTTCAGTCTTATAACCCGCATATGAGGGAAATCATATGGTTCTTAACTTTCTCTGTCTAATTTATTTTGCTTAACGTGATGCTCTCAAGATCCATCAATATTGTTGCAAATGACTATTTCATCTTTTCTCAAGGCTGAGTATTATTCCATTGTTTATATCAACAATTTTCAACTGGTGTGCTGCAAAAAATTTTTTAAAAGATTTTATTTATTTATCTTTAAAGGGGGAGGGAAGGAGAGAGGGAGAGACATGTCAATGTATGGTTGCCTCTTGTGCGTCCCCTGCTGGGAACTGGCCTGCAACCCAGGCATGTGCCCGGACTGGGAATTGAACCTGCAAAAAAGTTTAAAACACACAGTACTTGACTATTTAGTCAGCAGCACTGACCTCTTTTCCCTGAGACTGTCCAATATAAAAATGATGACATCCAATACAACAATTACTGTCCATTGAGAATGAATAAAAATCATACCTATTTTTTGTCAGATTGGCAAAAAAACCTTTTTTTGGTGTGCCACAGAATTTTAGTCATTAATTTATGTGTGCACAAATTGAAAAAGGTTGAAAATTGCTGGTATATATGTATCACATCTTCTCCGTCAAATCATCCATCAAGAGACACTTTGGTTGTTTCCACCGTGAATAATGCCGCCATGAACATAGCGGTGCACGTATCTTTGTGAATAAATATTTCCAAGTCTTTCAGGTACCCAGAAGGGGGTTGCTGGGTCAGATGGTGACTCTATTCTTAATTTTTTGAGGAGCCTCCTTACCATTTTCCACAGTGGCTATACCAGCAGAAATGCTCACTTCTTGCCTCAGCAATAATTATCCTTTATTTAAATCTCTAACTTCACAGGGAAAAGTCATTACAGAAACTGTTAATAAAATACAAAACACTAATTTGATCTTTCCTATGGAATTTAGAGTAGCAAGTATTTATATTGCTTTTTAAAACTATAATTGGTAATTACTTTACTACCTCGATCTTACCTGGAGCCTCAGCGTTAGGATGAGAACTGTTATTCCTCATGCGACCTTGTTAGAAGGAGGCACTAAAGGCTGGATCGTAGTGGGGCCAGAGAAGCGATGCCTCTTGTCACAGCTGTTAAGTCTGAGTTTTAGAAAGACATTCTCCAGCATGAAGACACTTGAATAAGTGATCTGAGTTTCAAGTTAAAATTAACATAACAGTCATTTAATGATACCTCACTTACTTTGTGAAGAACCCTCAAGGAGAAATGTAAAATTTCAGAAAATCACCCTAGCTGGTGTAGCTCAGTAGACTGAGCTTGGGCTGTGAACCAAAGGATTGCCAGTTCGATTCCCAGTCAGGGCACATGCCTGGGTTGCAGGCCAGGTCCCCAGTGCGGGTCATGTGAGAGGCAACCACATACTGATGTTTCTCTTCCTCTCTTTCCCCCTTTCCCCCTCCCTTCCCCTCTCTCTAAATAAATAAATAGAATATTTTTAAAAATCCAGAAGATGTATTTGAAATGCATTAGAAGCATGGATTTGGTTATGGATCAAATTCTACCTCCAGCATGCACGGCAATGTTCACCAAAAAACTAAAATTATAGTCATTGGTCATAATTTGCTATGAGTTAACTGCTGTTTAGCTATTACCAACACTTCAGTGGAAAAATGTGTTATTTGAGAGGAGCAATCAGAGGAACGTATTAGCTCCTATTTCTCTAACTCTCTATGCTCTGTCCCTGAGGAAAATTATATTCCCAGGAAACGGTATACATAGATTACATCACCTTAACTGCCCACGGAAATAGCTTTTCTGATTCTGACCACTATGCTGTCCACCTGGAACCACCGCAAAGTGATAAGGAATGTAAACTGTAATTGAAAAATAAATTTAAAAAAGAAATAGCTTTTAGAGATATAATAATTACTCTCTCCATTTTTGTAGAAACTTGCTATATGAAAAACATTTTTGGATCATTTGCAAAACTCTAAAGTTAAGATATAATTCAGTTTGTACCCTAATGTCCCTTGGAGAGAGTTCTTATGATATTTAAATGGAAGGAAATTTCTCCTAGATTCTTTGGAGGGGCACATGAAAGCTTATTATTACCATGTGTTCACCCTCAGAACTTAGGATCTTGGTCTTTTTTTCTTGCCCTTATGTAAGGCCAAGAGAGAGGTCTTGGTTACCCTGACAACCTCAAAGTGGACTCCTGGGATGTCACCAACAGTATGACCTTTGCTATCAAATGCAGCCACCGGAACTTCATTGTTTATCATGATACATTTCAAGCAGCCACCATTGGGCAAGAAAGCTGTGTTTCATGGTGTTTTTGATCAGCTGGACCCTGACGCACTTCCTGATGGGAGAATTTGGCTGTTGGGCTTCAATCCTCACTTTTTCTAGAAAAATTCCATTTACATGTGAAGTGCTTCCAATGAGGTAGGCCTTCAGGACTGTGCCCAGATGGGCTTTCCTGTGCTGTTTGTCATGCCACAGTTGGTGTTGGTGGCTGTGGAGCATCTTGGCAGTATAGCATTCTTGGCACTTTCCTGTTCTGCTGGTGTGGTGGGCCCAAGGAAAAGATCTAAAGTACTCTTTTTAAAAATCATGATAAAATACACATATCATAAAATGTACCACCTGAACCATTTTCAGTGGAGAGTTCAGCAGTGTTAAATATATTCACATTGATTGATCTACAAGCAATCTTCAGAACCTTTTGTTCTCATAAAACTGGATTATGGTGCTTAATTTCGTACATCAACTTGGCCAGGCCAGAGTGTCAGCATACTTAGTCAAATATTATTCTGGATCTTTCTTTTTTTTTTTTTTTAACAATTTTACTAAGGTTGATTAAAATATTACAAATTTCTAAATACAAGCAATAATACTTGCAAACTTTTACTATTAATCAAGCTGACATTTTGGCTAAGAACTAATACATCCTATTTAAAGTTGTAATTACAGAGCATTTTTATGGTACTTTTCTGATACAGAATATATTTATCCTTCGGTGTCCATGGGGGATCGGTTCTGGAATGGATCTTTCTTTGAGGGTGTTTTTGGATGAGATTTACATTTAAATCTGTAGAGTTTGAGCAAAGTGATTGTCCTCCATAGTGTGGGTGGGCCTTATCCAATCAGTTGATGGCCTAGATAGAACAAAAGATTGACTTCTCCCAAGTCAGAGGGAATGATGTCATCAGATAACCATCAGAGTTCAACTGCAGCATATGTTCTTCCCTGGGTCTCCAGCTGAATGGCTTACCCTGCAGATTTTGCTGCCTCTACAGGCCCCCTCCTGGCAACCTGGATGGCAATGCAGGCCTGTGCCCTGACTGGGAATCGAACCAGTGATTTTTTGGTTCACAGGTGATTTTTTGGCACTCAGTCCACTGAGCCACACCAGCCAGAGCACTACTTTTAATTTTGGGGGGAGCCATCAGGCTGTTTTCCACAGTGGCTGCACCATTTTACATTTCTACCAGCAGCGGATGAGGGTTCTAATTGGCCAGGATCCTGGCCAATCACCTATTTTTTCCTGCAAAAATAATCCAGTAGGGACCCAGAATAATCTTCAGAATTTTCTTCATTTTTGTTATGGAATAGTATTTTATATGTGCGTGTGTGTGGAGGAAATGCTGATATAGATTTGATTTTAGAAAATATGTTAAAAATCGCTACATACATAAATTAGGGTGAATCTCCATGATATCAAAACAATCATTTAGAAGCAAAGAATTCTGTCAAGAAGTTGATTTGTACTGTAGTTGCTAAGTGACTGGAGTGGCAGATTTTATTGTTTAGAATTTGTAGACAAGCACCCTTTTTGGAGGTTTTTCCCCATGAAATGTACATAGATCGTTACGATTGTGACCGAGTCATTTGGAGAGGTGAGCGTGTTGAAATCTGGGGGGAGTTCACACTGGGAAGCAGGATGTGCGGATGGGTGGGACCTGGCCCGCCCAGCCCCGCACACGTATTTGGTTTGGCCTGCACACTTGTTGGCACACACGGCGTTTTTTAAAAATTTGAATTAGTTGACAACTTTTTAAGTGGACAGATTTCATGCAAAAATCTTGATTTTTAACTTTTTGGGAAAAACAAGCTGAGCTGGCAAGACTGGGCCTCCATTCCCACGTGGCAACAGTTGGCTGGAGCCGAGGAACAGCTGCCCTTCCAGCCCGGGCTTGCGTGGCCCATTTCCCCAGGGTCCCGCCCTCAGAGACTGGAGGACTCGCGGACACCCAGGCAGCCGACTTCTCGGGATTTGCCAGGAACCACTTACAACTTCCTGTCACGTCTGGTGGGATGCAAGGCCTGTGGGGGGCTCTCAGGGCTTGCTTGATTGTTCACTGATTCTGATTCTTCATGTCCTAAAACTGTTCCAGATCCTGTTCTTTCTTTCTTGGTGGAAAAGGAGACAGTAAGACTACAGCCTTAAATAAATGAAATACAAAAATAAAAGGATTTAGATGATGCAGAGATGGGGAACACCTTAAAAAATGATAATGCCAATGTAAGTTTTTATTAAGCAATAAAAACTTTAGCCTTGTGAACTCTTTTTCCTGTGTAAGGAAAACTGAAGGAAAAAACAGCACCCAAGAAATGTTTCAAGCCAAGCCTTGTTTTCTCTCTTAATACAAGAGAGAAACAAGGGGCAAAAGGTTGTCAGTCATCTTATAGTGGCAGAATTCTTGAGTTAACAGATAGAAATAGATACAGAAACAAGGACCATATGGTTGGCTAGATCAGAGCCAGTGTGTGTGTGTGTGTGTGTGTGTGTGTGTGTGTTTGCAAGGCCACCCAGAGGGGGAAAAATTCAACTTATTGTGTCTCAGCATATTAACAACTCCCTTCTAATTACTTAGGCACTTGGAGAAGTTCTGTTTTCACTTTCAGGTGATAGCGAATAAAAAACGTGTTTAAGAAAAATGCAAACAACTTCTCTCCTCTGTCTCAGTGGTTGGTTGACCGGAACAGGGAGGTCTGCCTTAATCTCCAACCCAAAACAAGATTTCAGGAAAAAAGCTCTTTACACCTCTTCTTGCAGAATATTTGCTTTTATCTCATTATCCAAAGCAAGTCACATGGTCAAGCCCAGAGTCAGCCTGTGAAGGAACTAATTAATGGTGTGGATTTCGGGATGTGTGATTTCAAGACCCAAAACTGTTCTGGCATGGGAAGGTGGAATCTGGGTCAGCACTTATTCTAGGAAAATACATAGTAGTTGATCCTTAGAAAATTAAATTTTGGCATTTTATTCTTTCTATTAAAAATTATGTTCACAAGAAAATGCAAGAAATACAGAAATTACCAGAAAAAGAAAAATCACCCAAAGCCCACAATCTAATAAAATCTATCCTTAAACTTTGGTGTGCATGATTCCAGAAGTCTTTTGGTATATTTTCCTCTGCACTTAGAAGTGGTTGTGAGCCACTCCGAAGTGTCTCCAGAGGTGGTGGAGGACAGCAGCCTGGACTGAACCTGCATCGTCCCCTACTCGCTCAGAGCCTGTTTCTGTACTTGGAATTCTTTGAACCGTGTGTCTGTTGGCAGTGTGCCTTGACTCGCCAGAGTTGGAGAACTTAAGAGAGGTTGGAGAGAAGGGGAAGAGGCAGTCTATGCCTATTTAAAAAGTTAGCAAGAGAGAAGATGGGAGTGACGACAAAGCCATCGAGAATGGAGAGAGCAAAGTGTGATTCACCGGTGGAGACTTCCTGCTGCAAGCAGGACTGACTTATCTACCAGGCACAATGTTGGGGGCCCACAGGAATTTTAGGGGCCCCTGAAAATGTGTTCATTCCTCTAACATCAGAAGAAAAAGCAGTAAAATCCTAGGTCAAGGGAAATGGTTATAATGTTATGGTAGGTCTCCTTATCACAACACCATCATAAAGTATAGTTTCCATCTCCTTTCGTGGAGAAAGTGACCCATGAAGGCAAGAGTGCTGCAGGCCCACAGAAGTCACAACGTGGCCCTGGATCCAGTGGCATGTCCCAACCTACTCCAATTTATGAAAACATGCATGTGCCATGCAGTCTAGGATTTTCGCCACCTATGGTATTACTACCCCAACTTTACAAATGAGGACTCTGAAAGCTGGGTTGACATAGGGAGAGAGAAAGTGGGGGAGATGACTCCCCAGAAGTCCTGATTTTTAGTTCAGTGCTCTTCACAAAATGCGTTGTGGGAGGCAGCAGATATGGGGTAGAGAACAATATGGAAAAGAACACAATAGAAATTAAGAATACGGAAGGCTTTCTAACTGGTCACATATTTCCTCAGGGACCAAATTTCCTTCCTGAGATGACATTAGGTGCTGAAAAGAAGATTTAGGCTGCTCAGGAGAGCAGGAGGGAAAGAGGGAAGACACTGCTGGCTGTTGGGCTGAATACAGCCTCACTGGCAATCTACAGAATGGAAAAAAATGTTCCCAAACCTTACCAGATTAAGATAATTAACCTGGTAAGAGGTTAATATCCAAGATATATAAAGAACTCATACAACTCAATAGCAAGAAAAATAAATAATTCAATGAAAAAAAATGGGCAGAGAATCTGAAGACATTTTTCCAAAGAAGATGTACAAATGGTCAATGGGCACCTGAAATGATGTTCCGCATCATCAATGATCGGGAAAATGGAAGTCAGAACCGCAGTGAGATATCACCTCACACCAGCAAGAATAGTTATTCTCAAAAAGAAAAGAGATAATAAGCATTGGTGAGGATGTGGGACAAAGGGAACCCTTGTGCACTGGTGGTAGGAATGCAAATTGGTGAGCCGCTTAGAGAAAATAGTGTGGAGGTCCCACAAAAAATTAAAAATAGAACTGCCATTGATCCAGAAATTCCACTTCTGGGTATTTAAACAAAGGAAACAAAAATGGTACTGAAGATAAATGTGCATTGAGATTCATAACTGCACTGTTTACAATAGCCAAGATGTGGAAGCAACCTAAGTGTCCAAAGATAGATGAGTGGACAAAGAAGTTACGGTATAGGTGCACAATGGAATACCATTCACCCGTAAAAAGAAGGAAATTCTGCTGCTTGCAACAACATAGACTAATCTTGAGGGCACTGTGCTGAAATGAATTAGAGTGAGAAAGACAAATACCATATCATCTCACTTATATGTGGAATCTAAAACCACAGAACGAGCTCATAGATGCAGAGAATAGTTGGTGGTTGCCAGAGGAGGTGAGGGGGCAGGGAGGCAAAATGGCTGGAAAGACTCTAAAGGTACAAACTTCCAGTTTTAAAATAAACAAGTCATAGCATGGTGATTACAGTTAATAATCCTGTGTTGCATATTTGAAAGTTGCTAAGGGAGATCTTGAAAGTTCTCATCACGAGAAAAAGTCCTGTAACCATGTGTGATGGCAGGCATTAACTAGATTTACTGTGATCAGTTTGTCTCATACACACACACACACACACACACACACACACACACACATATATATATATACTGTGTCATTATATTGTATGCCTGAAAGTAATATAATGTTATAAGTTAGTTATACCGTAATATAATAGATAATTAAATAAGAAATTTTAGGAAAAAAACGATTCATCAAGTGGGTGATTATTAGATGTTTCACTTTTCTTTATAATCAAGTTCCATAATAATAAAGAAAACACTGGAAAAACAAGGTCAGTTTGGGCCTTTGGCAGAAAATGAGAGCCTTTGAAAGAAATTTGGTAAAATTGCTTGTGGCTGAGTTGCTACTGTATTTAAAAGAAGGCTGTGATAAAATTCAGTAATGCGTTAGTTTCTTAACTGATGAATATGTGTTTCCTAAAAAAATCTCACTATTGCTTTTGTTTTTTTAAAACATAGATGCACATATGTCTTAATATGTGTACATGTGTGTATATATATATACACACACACACATATTGTGTTTTTTTGCTATATTATCTAGAAAGGAATTTTGCTCTGAACTGGAACTTGTGGTTTGAGGATACTGCCCAATGAGTCCTTGAAGCAAAAAAAAGACATGATCTCATGAGCATTATCTTACACGTTGGCTCCATTATTCAGACGTCTTTATGTTTCTTGAAACAGCAGCCTCTGCCTCCCGGAAGGCCCACTGAGGACCATGAGGTGACTAACCCCCGATACAGAGTGAGCAGCGGGGCGTGCCTCTGAGAGTCAAGTGCTGATAACCGCACCTCAGAAACTCGCCATGCTGGAGTCCAAGACGGAGAACATCCCAACGTCTAACTCTCCAAATACAAAGCATCCGATAATATATTAAACATTGATCTGGACTAGCATTAGCCCATGATCCACTTGATGTAGATCTAAGGGAGCCAGGACATGAGTTAACTGACAACTAACACCGTACCTTGTCTGCCTCGTTAGCTGCAGGAGAGAATAATGCACAGGAAAAGGTGACGTCATGATGGTCTCACTTTCATTATTCTCTCCCAAATGAATAACCTTCCACACCAAGGATGAGCTCACTCACTATTAACGGAATAACATCTGGTGAGCGAGGGCCCCCAGCTGAACACGCTGTTGGCGTGGGACTATATTTAACCAGCAGAAACCCAAGCATTGTTTCATGTATCACATATGCAGTTCAGCTATATGGTGAAGAAAAATTTAAGGGGTAAGTAAATACTCCTAAAAGTATTTTAACATGCAAGGTTTTTTCCTTATGAAGCAAGGCATTAACCTGTTCCAAAAAAGATCCCAGGCTATTATTAGAGTGGAATATCTTAAACATGTGGCAGATGCCTTGTCCTCTTTGGCCAAGGCTCAGATGCTTGCCATAGCTATCTAAGTTTAAATTTCAAATCACGGGTAGGAATCTCTCTCCTTCAATTTCCTTTCTCATTCTTAATTTCCAGGCAGGCCTGCCACACTGACAATGGTGAATTTCGCAGGGTAATCTATCTAATAGGTTTACTGTAAATGATGAATCACTCTAGTATTTAAATCTAATGAGTAATGGTCTAAGTCAATTTTGTTTTTACAAATGCAGCATAGCTAAGGTCATCAGTTAAATGTGCTAGTACAGAGAAATGTCGATGTGCAGAACACATGGCATTTGGTTGGTCCCCATGGCCGTGAAATCGGGAAGCTGGAACGCTCTGGAATCCGCTGTGTGCCAAAGCCTTTAGAGGGACTGCTCACTTACAATCATGACATTTGGGGGAGAATTTCTTTCCATCAGGTTTAAGGAAACTTCCTCAAATGCAGTCATCTCTCATTGTACTCTTGGTAAAATGTAATAACCCTTTGTCGTGAAGAGGCTAACTAGCCATTATTTATTTAAAACGTGGAAATAATGCCTGTTTTCTGAAGAAAATTTGAGAAATTCAGAGAAGTACCAAGAAAACACAGTTCATTCTGATTCCAGCCACCCAGACATTTTTGTGTATGTTAGTCTTTTTAAATTGAAGTACGTGTAAGCGTTTTCTCATCTGAATTATTCTTCTACAATTTCTAAATGGCCATTCTAAATGGCCATCATATTATATCATGCAGCTACACCATGATTTATCAAACCAGTTTCCTATTGGGCCCTTAGTATGCTACTGATTTTTTGCTATTATAAGCAAAACTGTGGTAAAAACTACAAAGCTGAATTTTTGCTCACATAGGTGATTGTTTCCTTGGGGTGTATTTGCAGAAATAAAACTCAATCAAAGTGAACGTATGTGTTTAAGGGCCTTTGTGAGAGAAGAGGAGATTCTCTGCACCAGATGTCCCTGAGGCCAGAGATACAGCCCCAGTCCCTCTGGCCCCCAGGGTGTAGACAAGAAGGCTGGAACAATGGGATAACAATGGTGCTTATTCTGCTAAATGACTTGCGCATGTTACTTTGTTTAGTCTGTACAAGAATCCTGTGACATAGGGTAAGATGGTGAAGTCTAGACAGCTTGCAAATAGAGAAGCCAGAAGTGGGACCAGATTTGCTGTCTCCGAGTCCACGCCCTGAGCCACTGAGCTACCCAGTTTGTTCCAGGGTTATCATCCCCTGTTCATTCCTTTGCGAATTCTCTAGGCAGTGGGAGAGTCACTATGCACAGAAGACACAGCGGTGAACTGAATAAGCTCCTTGACCCCAGGGGTTTCCTAGATGGGTGACAGACAATATACAGACTTGTACTACTTAAAGATAGGGGTACATTCTGAGAAAGGCATTTTATGTGATGTCACTGTTGTGAGATCATACTAGAGGGTGCACCTAGCTAGCTGCTCTACCCCACTGCACACCTAGGCTGTAGGGTCTGGCCTAGTGCTCCTTGGCAGTAAGCCTGTAGAGCATGTTCCTGTGCAAAACAACACAAAATTAAACCAAGAGTGAGAAAATGGGGGGGGATGGGAGGGAGGGGGGAGACGGGGCAGGGGGGGTGGGATGGGAGAAATAGATTTTAAAAATGTACTTGAAAAATAACTAAATAAAATTTGTTAAAAAAAAAGAGTGAGAAAATGATGCAATATTTATTTATTTATTTAAATTGTTGTTCAAGTACAGTTTTCTGTCTTTTACTCCCATCCCAGCCCACCCCCCCCAGTGCTCCCCACCTTCCTCCCATTTCCACCCCCCTTAGTTTTTGTCCATGTGCCTTTTATACTTGTTCCTGTAATCTTTTTTAATAAGTAGAAGCAGCACACCAAAATAATAATAATAAAAGTATAGTACAGTAAATGCATAAATCAGTTACATTATTGTGAAGTATTATGGACTGTATATGACTATATATGCTGTAATATTATACAGACTGGCAAGTTTGTTTACACTGCAAACATGTAATGTGTTGCATTATGACACCATGACTTTCCCAGGCTACAACGTGACTTGGTGGCAGGAACCAACATTGTAAATGAGGTCTGTCCTTGAGCGAAATATCCTTATGTAGTACATGACCATAACATCAGGTAGCAAGCTCTGTGAAGAAAGACAAAGCTGGTGGAAAGGGTAAAGGCTGCCAAGGATCCTATTACAGGTGAGGTGGTGGGAGAAACTGTGGATGGAGCGAGTGAAGCTGGGATGTAGGGAGGACAAACTCTCCGGTTGGAGAAGCAGCAGCGTAAAGGCGCTGGGGCCAGAAACACGTTTGGGAAACTGCACAGAGCTCGTTGGGGCTGGAGTGCACCGAGATGTGGGAGAGACAGTTTGTCTATGGGATGTCCCGGGAGGGATGAGTTGAGGCCGCGAGGCTAGCGCAATTGACTTGTCTCTGCAGTCCCAAGGAGGTGAGATGGCTGACCGTGGCCAGCCAGTTCTCCTGTTCCCCATTTGGCTTTAGGTAGCTAGGCACTTAGGCCACGGCATTAAAACCCCAGCCCTTCGTGCCCAGGAATGGCTCACACTGCAGTACGCATTACCCGTCCACTCCACACGAGGCGCTATGCCTGCACCCGATCCATGGCTCACGTCAGAATAGAAGACAGTTTTCTTTGGCTGAAATGATCCCGTGGAACTGGGAAAACAGCCATTCTAAAGTTCAAAATGATGTAGTTATTAATCATGTTAGAGAACAAACACATCTATCTGCAGACCAGCTGTTTCCTGCTGTCATTTAAAGTCTCCAGTCCCACATGTTCTGCTACAGGAAGGAATCTAACTTCCTTTCGATTCTGCTGAATGTGTCTTTTAAAATGGAATTTGGGGTTAATTCATTCTACACGATTAAAAACCTAAGCGTTCTAACAGACCAGTTTCCAAGGGGCTGGTAACAGTATCATTGCTTGATGGGACTCATTGCAGCAAATGAACTGGGTTCACAAAACATGTTCTTCAGGCTTAAGAGATTTGAAGTAAGGTGAGAGCTTTTATTGTTCCACTGTTAGAACCTATGAAATTTAGTGCAAGAAAAAACTAGAATGCTTTAGAAACGTCCAGTTTCAGGATTTAATTTATTCCATGTATATTTGTGGGGAGGGGTGGGGAGGGCAGGGATATTCACTGCTAGAGCTGGTCATAGCCTCCCTGGGCTGCATGGGAAATTCTTCATGTACTTACTTGGGTGGCAGGTGCATCCTGAGGGCCCAGGGAGACAGAGAAAGAACAGTCATAGCTCCACTGTGGTACAGTAAGTGCCTGGAGAGTAAACTGGGACTGTGGGAGGGCAATGAGTGGAGCTGTACGGTGATACAGCTTCAAATCTTCTACAATGTTGAATACGAGCATTGGTCTTTGTGAACTTTTTATCTCTGTGATGTGAACCCTCTTTCACTGTCCCAAATCTTCGGTAAATGTTACGATACACATAAATGCCTTGTGTGAGTGCGGGACGCGAGACAGCACGTGTCCTGTGGGAATCAAGGGGCTGAGTTCCATGGTTGGGGGCATGCGGTGCAGAATAGGGAAAGTGCGTGCCACCTGGCAAGATAATCGGTCATTTAAACTAATCATTAGAAGCAGCATTCAGAGCCAGAAAACACCAATGAGAACGTAAGTCCTCTGGGAATCCCCAGAAATGTGGGGATGAACATTGGACTTTCACTGGAGAAATATGAAATGGGCGTTTGAACCACCTTAAAAGACAAAGGGACCCATCTGACACCTGGGTTACATGTTAACGACTGTTCTTTCTTGGAAGTGCATCATTTTGGTTAAGGTATAAAATGTCGACATTGTGGTTGCTCGTCTCTTAGTGACAACTAGGCTTAAGGTCTAGAAGTTACCCAGCTTTCTCTGGTCTGGATATTGGTAAAGGCTTCACTGGATTCCATATTTCCCAGTATTTCTTGATTTCTATGGTCTCGAAGTAGTTCTTCATAGGACTGGATCACAGGCTTTGTGAACTGATACAACACTGTTTTAGAGGTTATGTGCTATTATGATAGTCCCCAAAACACTCGTGGCACAGTATCGGGAGATATCTAGCTGGGGGCGGTTGTTGAACATGCTTCCCTGAGTCGGTCTACCCAGTTCTTCACAGGAGATAGGCCCGGGGAGGTGGCAATGGCTCATTTTATTCTACCATGTCTTTTTTATTAGTTAGTTATGTTCATTAGCCCCACTAGATTGCAGACGGTGACTATGGCCTGTTTGTAGGGGAAGGAGAATATCTGAGATAGTGCTTTGTATATTGTAGGACTTACAATAATAAATGATTTAAATTGATTTGAAGATGGTCACTTAGTTGACTTTCTTTTACAAGAGGCAAATAAGTTCTAGCCTAGTCCTGTCTGCACCCTTCAATTGCCATATTATCTAGAGTACTTAATAGCTTTTAGCATTTTGAAATAATACTAAATTAAATTACCTTCTTACTGAGCATCTCAAGGAAGCAATATCACAAAATCTTACAGGTGGCAAGAAATCAAAGATACAGGTTGTTCTTTTGTGAGGGGAAACATCACAGTGGGGCATTTGCCCTTTAGGAAAATTCCTGAAGCTTTTATAGCGATTTCCACTCCCGCTTAGGAAGTTAGGCTATTTTAGGAAGAGAGTCATGGATGGGCGGAGGGCAGTCAGCGTTCTGGTGTTCTGACCGCAAGAGTCCGCTCTGGAGAAGTCGATACTTCAAAAATGTCCTGCTTGACTAACAATGCACAACTCCGACCTTTTCTTTTTGAGTTTATTTTACTCTTCCAGCTTTGTTGAGATAGAATTGACTCATAACATTGTATAAGTTTAAGGTATAACATGATTTGATATATGTATATACTGTGAAATGTTTACCACAATGAGGTCAGTTAACATATCCATCACCCCACATAGTTGCAGTTTGTGTGTCTGTGGACAACTGCCAAATACACAAAACAGTGTTATTAACAGTAGTAATCACGCTGCATGTCCATTCACATCCCCAGAACATATTCATCATATAACTGAAAGTTCGCACCATTTGACCACCTTCATATCCCTACCCCTTAACCCCCACCCTGACCCTAATCTACCCTCTATTTTTGAGTTTGGTTTTTTAGATTCCACTTATAAGTGAGATCATACAATATTAGTCTTTCTCTGTCTGATTTATCTTACTTAACATAGTGCCCTCAAGGTTCATTCATGTTGCCACTGTGAAAAGATTTCATTCTTTTAAGAAAAATATTGCATTTTTTTATACAAAGGGGAAGGGAGGGGAAAAGAGAGGGAGAAAAACATCAGTGTGTGATTGCCTCTTGTGTGTCCTCTACTAGGGACCTGACCCACAACCCAGGCATGTGCCCAGACCAGGAATCAAAGCAGCGACCCTCTGGCTTGTAGGCCAGTGCTTAGTCCACTGACCCACACCAGCCAGGGCATGTTTCTTCATTTTAAACATATAAGCATATCTCCTCAAATCTACACATGCCAGTTAACTAATCCAAGAAGTGTAGTGTCATCCTTGGGTGCGAACTCTGGTAACTCATCAAGTGCTGCCTATTTTACTCCTAATTGTGTCCATCCAGTCTTCGCTCCCTTAGAATCCCATAGCAGACTCCCACTGCTTTCTCTCTATCTGGTCCCGCTTTGGTCCAATCCATTCTGTGTACTATTGCCAGAAAGGCGTTTTCTGAAGCACAAACCTGATCATGTAATAACTGTCTGACTCACAACTGTTCTTCTAGTGGCTCCCCAGTAGCTTCAGGGTACAGACCACATTTTGTTTATTTTTAGTGACATTTCCCACTTCACCCTTCCTCATTTGAAACTCTCTGCAGGTCTCCAAATATGTCACGTGCTTCCTTACTTCTGGGCCTTTGCATATGCTGTCCCCTTACACCTGGCTAACTCCTGCTGTACCTTCAGGTCTAACTTTTGACACCAGTTTAATTGGAAACTTCACCTTGACTGCCAATAGAGGTGCTAATGGCCCCGCCTGTGTGCTGTCCTAATAGTCGGTTCTTAAACCTATCTCGGCATTTATTTCAGTGTCTTGCAATGAACAGTCGATGGGTCTGCCTCTGGAGCCACACTGCAGGCTCCTTGAAAGTGGGGCTTGTGACTTACTCGTTTGATCTTCCATGCCTGGAATCAGTCTGGCACGAGATAGTCACTCAATAAATATTGCTTGGAGAAAAGATGGAAGGATAAAAAGCTCTCAACTTTGCCCTCCTCTCTCTTAAGAAGAAGTGATAGGAATATTTATTTACTCTGATGTCAGCCTTCACAGAGCCCGCTGAGCAGTAAAGTGAACGAATCAGGGCTCTCTGACTAACGGAGATGATGGAGGTAATTGCGGTGCCGGTGGAGGAGCCCATAAATAAGATGGATGAGTCATGGGTGTGTTCCTGGTATGGATGCTGAGGAAATGGTCTCAGCGTGCCCAGCAACACTCTCAAAATTAAGACAAATTTCAGTGCTGGCTGCTTGAAGTGTTTTCTGGTACAT